AAAGTTAAATAACCGGAATGAATGCATTGCCATTACAAATGAATTCCTGCCTTTCATTCCTTTATGTGGAATGTGAGATATTCACATATGGCACGTATGACGCTTCACTGTCATGTGTGTCTCATTTTTCCGCATCTATTGACGACTTTGGGTGGAGTGGCGCTGGTGGAACTGCAAGGTTGGTTTCCTTAAATGAATCTTGCCTCTACTTGTCACTCTTGAGTAGTAGAGTAGTACTGTGGGGCTTGACCGGGTAAATTACAAGCTAAAACTTCCAACCGACTTCAGGTCCTGAAGACGACGAGTTGTTCGAAACGTCGACCGAATAAATAGTTCCATCGTAACAACCTGTATGGCAGAAGAAAAACAAGCAATATTCTCAACATGCCCAGGTTTCAAGAAGACCGAACATGGAATCTTTTCGATGGTTTGCTTGAATTGTTAAACAAATTTTCGGGTTTTGGTCGCTTATGTTGATTATGCATGCCAGGGTTGCCAGTTTTGAGCTGATTTGCAAGTTTTCTCACATTTTCCAAGGCCGCGCACACATCACTGCCCAACAGTTGGAACTTTTTTTCCAAGAGCATGTGCGATGTTTTTAAATAAGCAAATCACCTGCTTTCTTGCTTGTGAAAGTTCCTATACGGGCATGGAGTATAGTATTTTCTACTAGGCATAGTCTCCCATTGTGCGACCTTTATGAACCACATGAGAAAGAAGTCGGCGAACTAGTACAGGAGGGTGGAGTGAGTTCACATTAGTCATCGTATAAACATTGTATGACTTAAAAACGATTTCCGGTTTCTATTTCAACTAGCCGAGATTTGATGTTAAGTGAGGACCGTGTCGTTTTGCTGCGAATGACGCCGAAGCTCGCACGGTTGTTGCGTGAAGGGACTTTCTCCACGAACATCTGTAAATTATTTGTAATTCACCTCACTTTGAGATGGCGTAAAAGGTGCAAAGGTCATCGTAAGCATCTGATGAAACAGCGCGGTGAATCATTATGTGGTTTCTGACTAATGCAGACCACGGCAATGTTCTATACCTTTTTGAAGCGGGATTACATGGTTCGTTGAATCACCATTTGCTGAGAGCTAAATAGTGAGGAGCGGATTTTGACTCAGTTTTCGAGAGAAATTAGCTGATGAATGAGAGCTGTAAAGAGGAACGGAGTTCAGGAATGCTAATATTTACAGTACGTGCTTACTTTCTGTCAAGCTCTTAAGTTATTATCGAGTTTTGCAAAAGTTCTGCTCAGGAAGCGGTCATACTTTGCGACTGCATTGTACTTCATTCGCAGTCCTAGTCTGGAGGAGCATGATCGATCGCGCAATCGATGCGTATTTTTTTACATGCGCAAGCACATGTCATGGTTTATAAGTGGAAGAAATACAGTAAAACCCAATGAAACAAACAGAGAAAAAAAGAGAGAGTGAGAATGGGTTCTTAACAAATAAAACACAATAAATCACTAGCAAGAATTGTCTCGGCTAAGATAACGATAACACAACCTTTTTGAAAGCTGAAAAACAACATGGAACCTGCATCTTTTTACTCAATTTTGTGTATTCAAAACCAGCCCTGAAAGTGAAAAAGCTGCGCCGCAAACAGACTTAGGTTGCTGAAGCACGAGTTCGAGCCTTATCTACTCCGCGCTAGCGATCTTCTCGCCAAATGAACTGCCGAGGCCGTCACAAGGAATGAGTGCATTCTTATAAGTTGTGTCTCGAAAGCGAGGCACCGTATGCAGTGTATGGACCTGGAAGTGCACTACATTTCGTGTGCAAGAAGTCAGAGATTTCAAATTCATTGCGGCACTTTGGCAGCTTTAACTGGGATTACATCGGTGCGAGCCGTAAGGAATTGAAGACTGAGAAAGTGTAAGTTCAGATAGAGCGAATACGTTTGGTGCGCCGCGAAGGTGCGACCTTTAGCAACCGTACGCGAGAGCCATGCAGGAAAGAAAGTTAGTTTGAAAATCAAAATCAGCAACAGTAGTGATGGAAAGACCGCTAGTAAAACGAAGATACGAGGCGAGTCGTTGGCGAACCCGAGAGTGAACACAGAGCACGAACCCACAGCAGGATACACGGCGCGAACAACACCTTGGCGTGAGGCGCAAGGGCTACTACCTTTTAGCAAGTGAGGCTCATACATTCCACTGATCCATGAGCCTGTTTCCACCAATGATAAGCCGCTCAGGCTCAGGCTACCAACAAACAAGCCTTTTGTGCTGTTCACTGTGACACTAAGGCTATCTCTAGGTCAGGTCTATCGTGCCGAGGACCTCTTTCTTACGGGTCACTGCAACTCCTATCCAATCAACCAGTGATGATCCATAAGGGATGTTGGAGCTGGTACACACTGCAACGCTGAAACTGGAGCTTTGAAACTGGAACCGCTGCTACCCTGGCTCAGCGTCCAAAACTATTTTATTGGAACCCTCCCGCGCAAATCGCTTCCTTTTAGCGGTGAGCTTTGGTGGGTCCTCGCGATCGGCTACTACTGCAATTTATTGCCAGCTTGACTAATTCTCTGGGGTGACCTCCATACCGGTTCCCCAATGTGTTACATAAGTCGTATTGCATTAAAATGCCACTACATCTTTTGGCGGAAGTGGGGTGAGTAGCGCATCCAAAAGGAAAGCGTTTGAAAGAACTGGTTAGGTCATAGTAGTTTCAACACTGCTATATTTGTGAATTTGTCTCCAGAAAAAGGGAAATGGCCAGCCTTGGCTCTTGGTCACTCCCCGAATCAGCTTTAATTTTCTTTCTTAGCCACTTGATTTAACTGTTATAAAAATATCGCAGTAGTTTTAATTGTCGAGTGGTTACAAAAGCGGTAAAAAATTGACTCTAGTCGGACTGGAATATAACTAATCGTAAGATGAAGTTGTTGTCTGATGGCGTCTGACAATCTTCGCTCGCTTGGAATAGGCCCTCAGGGAACGACGTCGATATGGCGATGACTTGCTTATTGTCATCCTCTTTTAGGGAACGATGATGACAGGATAAGGGTTTGAGTTGATGCTTTGATACCACGATATGTGAAAGCTGGCAAGTGTTGTTGGTAGCCCCGGATGCGACTGCAGACCTATAGCTTTTTTCAGTTCACATTTTGCCTTTGAAATACGATGCTGTTTATTTTTTGTTGTCGTGAAGTAATTACCATATGATCACCCGATGGTGAACATTCCTAAAACAGTTGTCATAGTCTCCGGCCATTCCTGCGATTTTTAGTGGTTGTGGTTGTGATTGGGTGTTGGTTAAAATAGTAGATGGAAGGGAATAACAGTAAGTCAGTCATAGTATTTAGAGTGTGATCAATAAAATTAACGTCATACAAGTTATTTGGTTAACGACAGGACGATGACCATTCAAAGCGATTGTGAGCAAAGGAATCCTAATGGTAACTTTTTTGTCTTGAAACCTTTTGTGACAACTGACGGTTAATGCCACGAATTCCTGCTGATGAGTTGTTTGCTGCTAGCGGACCGCGTAAATTGTCGCCAATGAATTTTCTTGGCTCATACGAGAAACCAGTATAAAGACTATTTGTTGTGTAACTGATGATCTATTCTTACAAGGCAGAAGATCAGGAAAAACAGGCTCGAAGTTGCGCCAATTTGTAAGAAGTTTACAGCTCAGGTGTTAGTTTTGACGCCTCGTGCTCGACTAATACTGGTTACACAAATCGTGCGCAAACGATTTCTTCTCTTGGACGTAGTCATGAAAGCAGATAGCTCATTCAACAGTAGCACAGCGGCCCGAAGGCCGACGAGGAGGTCGTAGTAAGATTGACTTCCTATGGCGAAGTCTTCATCGGCTGCTTTTCTCGAAAACATGATGTCTCACCACAGGACTTCTATGCATGCTAAATCATCAGCGACACTGCCTATCCTATAAGTGGGAAGAGCTGGCAAAGAGCTTCGAACACTGTGCGCGTCATTTGCCGTGTCCTGTCGGTCGTTTGTGCCCACATTTTCGACTTTGGTCAAAATTTTTGGATTTGGACCAAAAGTTGTTTTTTTTTTTTTTTGGTTGTCGGAAGGGGGTAGTTTGATGCGCTGAACACGAAAATCACATCTATTTGGCAAGAAAGTGCATGACGCATGCGCTACGGGTGCCAGAGACGGTCACTTGCAAATGACGCGCACAGTGTTCGAAGCACTTCGCGAGCTCTTTCCACCTGTATGATAGGCAATCCCTGATGACTTAGCATGGATGAAAGTTCTTTGAACAATGTTTTCAAGAAAAGCAAAAGTGAGAACTCGCCAAAAAGTACGATCTCGCGACCTCTTGCTCGACGGCCAGGGCCGCTGCCACTACACTATTCGCTTCATAACTACCCCTCGCCTTCAAACGACCAGAAATTGTGAATTGCAGAAATTGACGTGGCATTAACGTGGCATGTCTTCGTCTCTTCTCTCACGTGTGCTCAAAGATGTTCTTGAATCATGCCACGTTAATTTTGCCACGTCAATTTCTGCAATTGCAGATTTCTGGTCGTTTGAAGGCGGAGGTTACGTTCGAAAAACGTTCCGCAGACTTGAGGAGCAGATTCGAGCTCAGCGTAAATTACATCTACAGGTGTATGTCCACAAATGGCCATCTCGACCTGGTATCCTTCCCTTGTTAGTACCAGATTAGTACACACAGGGGGAGAGTAACACTTAAGTGGCACTAGCTAGCTCTACAAATCACTGAACTGACGTCCATCTGAATGCATCCATGATGTTAGGTGGCGCATCTTTGAGGTCAACTTCGTCATTCTTTCAGTACTTTATACCCTATTTTTAGGAATTATGAAATGGCATGAGATTGTTTCATCAGTACTTCTCTGACCTTTTCACATTCAGGTACTTATCTTTGCGAAGCTGCGCACACTCGGAAGTAATATAGCACGATGTCTGTTGGCGTGGGGCGTGAAAAAGATCACTTTTGTCGATAATTCCTTTGTAAGCTACAGTAACCCAGTAAGGTAAGTTATTTATATAATTTCCGTCGTTACTTTCTTCATTGCTATACATGGAGCCTAACACCATCGGCATCTGCATTAATTGCTCATTAGTGGTGAGATTGAGTGTTTCGCAGTCTTGTAGTATTCCCTTTGAGTAAGCCTAAATTGGGAAGAAAAAATATCAGCCGTTTTTCAAGAGGCGGGGCTCTTCAATGGGCCCTTTCTTCTGCCTCGCCTATCCGTCACCCTTTTCCTTCCATATCTCCCAATCGTTACGAGTTGATTTTGTAGAAGGTGCTTATATCAAAATAGCTTTCTAGGGAATGAACTACTTTTGTGATTGTCTTTTGGCTTGAATGATCAGTTGCATTTAGGCTCTTTTTCACCTAGATGGAATCAGGCCTCATGTTTCGCTTGAGGAAAACTGCGCTGCGATAAGGAAATTTGCCTCATCCCAAAATCCTTGTCCATAAATCAGACTTCATTGTCTACTGCAAATTTGTGTCGTTGCATATATTGTCGTTTATTTATGCTTTTTGTTTGCTACTTTTGATTATGCCCCTGTGCAAATGTAATTGCTTGCCGTAAATTAATTTAGCTCAAGATGAGAATCAATTCTGAATCATTGAAGAGTGCTTTCTTACAGGCAGTCACTTTCGGAGTTTACTGATGCCCGAGAAGCTCGCGGTAAGGCCGAAACGGCAGCAGCTGCTCTGCTGCGGATCTATCCAAGTGTCGAGGCTGAGGCGGTTCTTCTCACGGTGCCAATGCCCGGTCACACGGTTGCTCCCAGTGGTTGGTCGAGAAATCTATGATTTCTCTGTGAATATTCTGTTGACGTCTACTCTTAAATGAAGCATTCAGAAGAGGCTGACCTAGTGAGAGATGTGGAGGCCATAGAAAAATTGGTTTCCACCCACGATGTCGTTTTCCTTGCTCTTGACAGTCGAGAAGCCAGATGGCTACCCACAGTGCTGGCCAGTAAGCATGGCAAGGTGACTTTTCCCTAATGATTCCCTGTTTTTTCCCCTAGCCTGTTTTGTTCTCTTATGATGTTAGTGTTCAGATAGCGTTCAGCGTTGCTCTTGGATTCGATAATTATGTTGTGATTCGTCACGGCGTGAAGAGCGGCGATACAGCGGAGGTGCCGTCTTCTTCAGGTAACGTAGTAGAATGTCTCTATAGCTTGCCTCTTAACCCTGAAGCGTTACCAAGGCATGACGCGGTGCATGGGCATCAGTCGTGCGATTGCGAAGCAGTGCGTGCTTATCTTCAGAAACGTGGAGCTTATCCTATCTTGATGGTCCTTCATGTTGTGAATGAGGTGTTAGACGAGAGTTGGTGGAGGTTGCCGTAGTTTGGCAGTTTATCGAGGTCTGGGAGATGATGAAGTGATGAATGAGTCAACATTCGGACACAGTCGTTAATATGTCCTATGGGCTGCGGGCAGGGGGGGGGGTGGTAGAAGTGCGCTGACAATGAGTATAGACTCAGCTTGACTTGTTCAGTTCAGATGAAAAAGACACTTCAAGGCTCCAGGAATGAGGATACATTGTAATCCACATATTTTCAGTGCTTTGGCTTGCATTTATTTTTATTTTAGACATTTTTCAGATATTACGTCAGTTCGAGAAGGTACTGTTATACCGTACTCGGAGTTGGCTTGTTATTTCTGCAGCGACGTGACCGCGCCTGGGAACTCGTCCACTGATCGAACACTTGATCAACAGTGCACAGTGAGTTGACTGATTGGTAGGAGGAGGAAAAAGGTCGTAGGATAATGTGTGGGGAGAGCAAATTATGAGAAGGGAAACTCAAAGGTTGTTTCTGAAGGATTCCTCATGAATTCGCACCAGTCAGTCGATTTTGGCTTCCACAAACTTTGAAAACGATGAAAATGTAAAATTGTTCTCATTCTCGCTGGGTTTTTGTTGGTAATTCAAGTTTTGTTTTGATTTTCATTTTTTTTCTGAGGAGTGTAGTCCTTTTTGTTTTGGACTATCTAATGCGGTTTCCTCTTTATACTTGTTCGCGGTTCGCTCAGATTTCTATTTGAACTTCAAAATGTTTTAATAGTGGTGGGTGAAAATATCTTTGTATGTCCTCTGGAGAGAAATTTCTACCGCATTGTGAGTCGATTGAAAAGGACGAAAATCCTTTATTGGAATGTCATGCGGTAATTTCAGGTCAGTCGCGCAGGGCTCTCAATGATAGCGTCAGGTGTTGCCGTGGAACTTCTGTCCTCCGTGCTTCAGTACCCAGATCCACTGCGCGCTCCGGCCAACATTGGCGAACCGGACGATTCGTCGTCGTTGTTGGGTGCAACACCACATCAAGTTCGTGGATATCTATCACGATTCAGCCAGGTGAGCAATGCGATCTCCTTGAAATCTTTTCATTTTATTGACGTCAATAAAATACCATGGATTCATTCAAACTCCAATGACCTACTGAGTTTTGCTTGTTTAGATGACCCCATGCGTACGGCGATTCGAGAAGTGTGTCGCTTGTGGTAGTACGGTGGCTGAGGAGTACCTGAGCCGAGGGAGCAGATTTTGTGAAAGAGGTGAGCCAGTCCATAAACACTTTCTAGTTCTTCAAATATGACCCGAGCTCTTGCTTTTTTTTCAAGGTGATGAACTGTCCGTCGTATCTAGAAAAGCTGACGGGACTGGATCAGCTCCAAGCCTCTATAAACGACGTACATATCGAATTCAGTGATGATAATGACTCGGTCATGTCTTTGTAGAGGTCCCACCATATTATAATTGTTTGCCATTGTTTTCTTTCTAATTGCCTGCTGAGAAACTAAGGGAATATTCATCAAATGTCCACCGACATGAAGATTTTGAAAACAGAGTGAGAGAAATGCGAATGGGCTCGAGCAGGAGATGGGTGAGATTTACATAAGTTTGGGGTCATTTGCTGAGATGGATTGATCAATAAGTATCTCTGTCATGGTCGCGGCATCGCGGACGTGCACAAGTCGCAAACTCTGAACCGAGGTTGGAAAAAGCTTTGTAGTTTCTTCAGAATTAGCTTGAAAGATTCTCTTTGTTTAATCTCACAGATTGGGTTATGGGTTGGTTCAGGTGTAAATTTGGAAAGATTCGTAGTTTTGGCCTTTCAGCCTCCAATTAATTGCTTAATTCCATGATTTTTTTTACTCCGCTTATTATTGTTGACGATGCTCTTACGAACCTCGAAATACAATAATCTCCTCTCTATGTCATTCGTTCACTTTGCCTTTGTGTCTTCCTCGTGATTTCCTGTAGATATTGATTGCGGTTTTTATCCGAATGAGGATGGGATAAAACAACGTTGCCATTTTAACAACATTTTTAATCTGCAAAGATTTTTTTGAACCTGTATTTGTGCTTTGGTGAGGTTTTACTGCCAATTGAATGTTTATTCTCGTCAGTGTTCTTTCTTGATGCTGGTTCGAACCAATTCTATTTTCTCTTTTCATTGTAAGGACTACATATAGCCCTTGCTCAAGGCGTTTATCGACTCTGTTTAGTGTTTGCCGGCCTGTGATGCGCGCGGTCGCGGCGCGGCGTCCACGGAAAGTGATACGCCGTAATGTTTTAGTAGGGGCTGGTCACGACTGCGCGCATTTCAGACCAATGATTTAGATCACGCGTAAATATAAACCCAACGTAATAGAAATTCTTTCTTTGTAGGCCAACGCTTTCGAATGATGGAGCGGCTGAAAGACGTTTGAAGTTCGATTATGTTAAGAATCATTTGCTTGTTACAGTGAAGTTTTAGTTCTTCAAGGATAAATGAAAAAGGTAAGCGTTCTTGCGTCGATCAATTCCTTTTTGGGATGCGGCCGCATTCACTTATTACATTTGCATTTCGTAGTGGCGTTGCAGGCGATGGCGGCTATGCGTATGACTTCGCGGCTATGTACAAGTCGAGGGAGAGTGTGATCATCATTAAGGTCTGCGCTTAATTCAATTTGACGACCTGGGAGGGATTGAAAATCTTTGGCAGGCAGGACTTGATCCCCGGAGCCGCTCGCGTTCGGTATGGTGCCATTGCCATAACCTTCGCCCACAGAGTCGTTACTCTCGTCATAGATGAATGAGAGACAGCTGGCAAGCCATTAAGCAACAGTTAATAAAGATCACGTCACAAAAGGACTGCAAATAGAGCGACAGTGTTGCAGGTCCTGGTAAGACACAATTACAATGACGTGTAAATAATGAACTGGTAGCCGCCCATTTGAACTTGGCGAGTAAAGAGGTTTGATAGCGCGAAATTGGGAATGAATGGCGGCGTAAAGTTTGGCTGGCAATCACAGATTGATTTCTATCAGTTCAAACCGAGACCTCAATTACAGGCTAGTCAGTTGGGTCGGTCACCGCATGCTCGGAAAAGAAGTGTTGCATGCAACATGTCGACTATTCATTGATAGCCATTCGGATTGGAAGGTTAGACACCTTGCGATGGTTCGATTCGTTCTCGTCGATTGGATTTAGGTATCGATTGAATAATAGTGAAGTGGCGCGCATCCACAGAGCAAGGGAACATTGCAAGCCGCACAGAGTGAAAGCAATTGCATCTCTCTTCAAGTAGACCCTTGGAGCCGTCTAGGGATATCAAGAGAAAGCTGGATGTGTGGACGTGTACTTCTTTTGACTTCGAGCTGTTTGATAGCTGAATGTCAAAGGAAGACTTAGTTTCGGGATTGAGTATTTCAAAGGTACTTCTACGCGTCGTTTCTATCCACCTATCCCACCTGTTCCCCCCCTCTTTCTCTCCTAAAAACTGTGGGTCAGAGACTGCTGCGTGGACTTCCGTGACTCAAAATTTTTCGAATCACATCCGCCAGCGGCCATCACTAAATGGTTTTGGTCGCAGCTAAAACGATAACAGCGGCGAATTGGTCAAAGTTCCACGGTTTTGGTCCTTTGGATCGGGCTTTGTTAGGCGAATGGGGTAACTTGCGCTTCGTTTTGATTTGATTCTCTTTTTTATCGTAGGCGAAACTCGAGCTCAGAGTTCCGTTGGAACACTGCCGCTCAGCTTTGAGCTTCCTTGGTATAATCGGATGAGTGCATTTAAAAAGCTAACTCTGGGGTATAAAAAGCGAGGAATATGATAGCGAATCAAACATACGCAATTGGAATCAACACTCATGTTTCTACGAGACGAGTATAGTAGCGATTGCCTTAGTATTCTTGGTTGTAGCTCTTCAGGATACCCTCACAGTGGACCGCGAAGACCTGTTAATGTGGTTAGAAAACTTCCAAACTTAGGATTGTGTCTGTATTTCGTGAGCGCCGCTGGGCTCATTTTCGACTCAGGGCGCGCCACTTGTCATGGATTGCGACCTTTTACTACCTTTTACTAGCACCTGATCATAGTATTTTTTAAGGTACGTTGTAAGACATATGATGAGAGTTCACAGTAAAGAAAAAGAGGATAAAAAACCGCTGGAATGCTCCATATGCGGCAAGGTGAGGCGAGGTAGGCCCGCTTTTATGAGTGAATGAACCCTAGTGAGTGAATCTAGTGGAGCTTTGTTGGTAATGCAATTGGACTCGTTTAGAATTTCCCGCGTCTTTCTCATCTTCAACGCCATCAACTTATCCATATCAAGGAACGAGAGTGGGGATGTCCGTTTTGTGAGCAGAGTTTCGTACAAAAGGTGAGCCGCTGTGTGCACGATGTTCATATCAGGCGAGTGACGGCCGCTGCCCATCAGAACGTTTCATGCATCCTTGAAAATGTGGGGCTAGTATCTACTTCGAAGGTACAGTAGGCTAGTAGACAAGCGAGAAGAAAGTAGAAGTGGTACTGCGAGCAGTGTTGACGAAGCCGTCTTCCCCCTCTGGCAGTGCTACTCACGTTCCATTGATACCACTCTCTAGGCATCCTTAATTACATAGACCTTCCTTTACTTTACTACACATCTATGAATACATGTAAAGGAGCTACAAAAGCCGATTCCAATACA